ATATGTGTGAGTAAGAGCTTGTGTGTGTGTGTGTGTGTGTGTGTGTGTGTGTGTGTGTGTGTGTGTGTGTGTGTGTGGTTCTAGGTGCACTACTATCAGCCAATTTGGACACTGGTGGGTGCCGGTGCTAAAACTCTGAAATCGTCAGCTCGTCCAACTGCCAGCGTCATGCCGTCTGGCGTGAAGTGGGTCAAGTCCAAGGTTCAAGAAATAAACCCCGACAAAAACACAGTCCTCACAGATGATGGGACCGAGGTATCCAAATGATGTAATTTGCTTGTGTCTTGTTTATCTATTAGCAATATATCTTGTATACCAGTGGATGGAAGTTATTAAAACTGTCAGAACGTTACCAGTGGATGTGCATTCACAGCTGCTTAACTCTTGGAGTCAACCACATTCAAGATGGCTGTCACTTTAAAGTGCCTGTGACGTCAAATTTTTATAATACATATGAATGTATTTTTAGAAAGAGGACATTGATAAAATATTGCAAAAGAAATTTCATGTTGCTGAGATGAACTGTTGTTGAGATATTTGCCTCTGACGTAACAGGAAACGATGTCAAAGGGGAATGTCTGAATGTGAACAGAGCATTGCTAAAACAGCTAATAACATAGACTGTAGAAAATAATCTGATGTTTCTTAAGATTATTTTGACTCACTATCAGAGAGAGATGAAGAAGAGTCGGAGTTCAAATAATATTGTTTCAATAAACAAAGACCAGAGAGTTTTAAAAGTCAAAAAGAAAAAATAAGTAGGTCCTCTGGATGGGTTCTTCTTTAGTGAAACGTTTCGTCTCTCCTCCAAGAGACTTCTTCAGTCTGAGTTTCAGGTGAACTCAGCCTTATAAGCACTGCCTCCACATGGTGGACAAACAGGTTAGTCACATGCAAAAGAGCGTTAAAGCCTAACAATAGGCTTGATTAGCTCAATTGTTCATAGAGGGTCATGTGCCCCATCACCTGACTTATTGGTTTGGATGCTGTGGTTCTTAGGTGTTGTGTCATGTGAATGTAGTGAATGCATGCGAGGTTCAACATCCCCTTGTTTTTGTCTCTCTTTCCCTCGTTGTGTTGGTTATCAATGGGGCCCTGATTCACACCTTTTGCTCACAGGGGGCTGAGTCATACTTGGAATAACAGCGTTGTAGGAGGAGGACAACTGGACACGAAGGCCTCCACCTCTGTTTAATGGTGGATGTTTTTTCTTCACAAAAATGACTTCCTTTTTATGCTACTTTCACACCGAACGCATTTTAAGCGGCCAAAAAGCACAAAACGCCTCTCGTTGGACACTCTATGTTCAGACCGAAGAACGCACTAGTGTTCAGACCAGAAAGAGAAGCAGCAGCAGCGGCTGCAGAGGAGGAGCAGGAGGAGCGTGTCCTCGGCGGGTGAATAAAGATAAAAGAAAAGAAAATGGCTTTGGTTTATTTACTGAAAAGCAAGCGAACGTTGCGCACAGCAGATAATTATCTCACCAGATGATTTAGAGGCGGTTTGTTCGGTTAGTTTTGTCACTCCAGAAGCTGCCAGCTCACAGAATTTTTTTTTGTCAGCTTAAAACGCGTTCGGTGTGAACGTAGCATTACTCCTCTCTCAAACCAACGTTCCTCTCTATCAAGGATGAGAACATCTTCATCCCTGAAAGAGTGACCGCTGGCCTGTAGATGAGTGAAAACTGCAGAGTCCTGACCCGACGATGTAGCTCGTCTGTGTTGGCTCATTCTTTTGAACAGTGGCTGTTTTGTTTCCCCAATGTATGACTGATCACAGTCCTCCTGACACTTAACAACATATACTATATTACTCTGTTTTTGCTGGGGAACTGGAGAGTTTTCATTGTTAAAGAGTTCCCCTCTGATGTCACTTCCTGTTTCACTTTGGCTGAGCCAAGTTCAAAAGAAAATATAACAGTTATGGGACTGAAGGAAATTTTGTCACTGATTAATTCAATATTAGATGCAGTATTGTATTTTATACTTTCTGATCATTTCAGCCTTTAAGTTAAAACAGAATAAGAGTCGGTGTGTGTCTTATCATGTGTACCTAAACAAGAATTGAGTTATGTTCTGACGTCTGACGTAAAAGGTAACACCTCCAAGGGATGTAACCAGGAAGAGATGTACATTATATCTCAATTCATTATTATAGTAGTAAGAAGTTGTCAGTATTTAGAGAGTCTCTGCTTCAGAGCAGGGCAGCTGTGTTTTGTTTTGGTTCAGCCCAAGATCCTGGTGAGGCCTGTACTGCTGAGTGCTGTACGAACCTGATTGGAGTCAGAAGATTTGAAAATAAAGTTTTAAGAAGAAATCCAGTGGATTCCAGTTTATTCGGACATACCATTTTGAACAACGCATATTTTTCTTACAGGTTAAAATGGGTTAAATCATGGTTATTCCAACTTTTTTAAATATATAGATGTTTTCTTTGACTTTTAGTATTTGAAGAATATGCTTGTCACAGGCACTTTAAAGCGACATTGTCAAACACAACTATGTGTCCAAATTCAGGGACTACATCCTTTGAAGGACCTGGCCTATGTAGGCCACATCCTTTGTCAGCTGCAAAGACTGGAAGAAAGTGGATGTGTATTTGGTCCGTCTAGCCTTTAGCTTTATTCCCACCCCTACCCCGCCTAGCAATCACAACAATGTTAAACTGAAGCAATAATTATTAAAATTAGCAAAAAAGTATCAAAGCTAGCTTAGAGGCATTACATGAACAACTTGGGGACTCGTTACATGAGCTCATTTATGATAATTTCTGACAAGAATGTTTAAAAACATATCTATGCAAATAAAAGCCTAATAACACAATCGTGTTAAACTAGCAATTTTTGTAACGCCAGATTTTTATTTTAAACTGACCTCCTGTCTTCCTTCGTCTCTCGCTTCGTCTACCATTATAAGCAAAAAAAATCTCCATTGGCCAGCAATGCATCTTGGGACAGTTTATAAATACACCCGACACGAGGGACGAGGATGTATTTGTGTGCCACAATTGGAGGAGCCTTTGAATTTGGACGCCTTCGGTTCATCACTGTGATATAATCAACCTACAAATTCAGCTTTTAAATGATGCAGCCCCTGAATTTGGACACACCCTACATTATGCTAATTTTACAGATATTGAGCTCAAATTTGGGCTGATAGTAGATGACAATTGTCCCTAACACTTACGCCAATAAAACTGGTAATGGCCACCACAGCAAACTGACAATGGAAAACACAAAAATGTCACTCTTTTAATGAATGTTAGGCCTTTAGCTGTGTAATAATTTATGCTTACATGAAAAGTTTCACGTAGTTTACTGATGTGATCCCATGTTTTCCACATTACAGATCTCCTATGAATATCTGATTGTGGCTCTTGGTATCCAGCTTCATTATGAGAAGGTGAGTACCATACATGCATTATTTGGTAAAAAAAAACTCTGATTTGGTCTAAACGCAGCATCTCTGTGCAGATCAAAGGGCTGCCGGAGGCCTTTGAGCATCCGAAGGTCGGCTCAAACTACTCCGTCCAAACTGTGGAGAAAACCTGGAAGGCCCTGCAGGACTTCAAAGAGGGCAACGCAGTGTTCACGTTCCCAAACACTCCTGTCAAATGTGCAGGAGCTCCACAGAAGATCATGTACTTATCAGATGCTTATCTCAGAAAGGTATTTAAATCATCGTGATCAAGTCATAAGGTGGTGTTAAAGGTCAAGTGTGGCGTTCCAAATCTCACAAGGGTGCTTTCCTGTTCTTAAGACAGGAAAAAGGGCAAAGGCCAATGTAATATACAACACGTCACTACCTGTGCTGTTTGGCATCAAGAAGTATGCTGACACACTGTGGGATATTGTGAAAAATCGAGATTTGCAAGTGAACCTTCGCCAAAACCTGATCGAAGTGCGGCCGGAGAAGCAGGAGGCAGTGTTTGAAAACCTCGACAACCCTAGCGAGACTAAAGTGGTTGAGGTAATGAGTTGGTAACTGTTACTTTCAATGTGTATGAAACACCACGCAGGTCCCTTTTTGATGTGGTTTTGTGATTTTTTTTTTCCATTAGTATGAAATGCTCCATGTTACACCACCAATGGGACCCAGTTTGGTGATTAAAGGGGGCCCGCTGGCCGACGACATCGGCTGGTTGGACCTCAACAAAGACACCCTGCAGCATACCAGATATCCAAATGTGTTTGGGATTGGAGACTGCACTAACCTTCCTACAGCCAAAACCGGAGCAGCTGTTGGTAAGTGACCCTTGTTGCTGAAAGCTGGAAGGTTTCTGCGTTGATACGGAGAGCAATTTTGGTTTTGAAAGCTTTAATCTTTGAAACTATATTGCACAACCTCCAGTTTACACAGTGCTGTAAAAAAAAACCACACCTGAATGAAGTCAGCAACAGGAGGACATTTTTAGATTATCTGTTTCAGTTATCTATATCCGTCAGGAGGATTCGGTGATGCCATGTTGTGAAAGCTAAACGCTGTGTGGTCGGCTCATTCACATTTCCCATGGCCATGTTTTTTCCTCTGCGTGAACTGATACAGTGGTTTGCAAAAGTATTCATACCCCTTGAACTTTTCCATATTTTGTCACATTACAACCACAAACATAAATATATTTCACTGGAAT